ATGGATTAGTGTTATTGTGATGATACCATGTGTATTATGATGCATGTGATGATATTATGATGAATTCATGGATGATGATGCGTTTTGACTAGCAGTGGTCGTGTGTATTATGTTGTTCCGCATCATGCATTCATGGCATATGTTAGGGTGTTGGTCCAATGATGTTAGGATGTTGGTCCAATGATGATTGTTAGGATGTTAGTACAGTGACGAACTCAATCTCATGGTGTGGATTGAGTGCTTTTTTGTGAAGTGCTCTGGTTCTAAGTGAGAATCGATCTTATGGTGGAGATCTTTGGAGAAATATGACTTAGTCATTAGTGAAGTTTTGGTATTGTGTGCATGAGTCAATGATGTTGCATTGTATTAAATGTGACATTGAATAATGATTAATTAAGGAATGTTTTGATGGTGTGACTTAATGATGCCTTGGTGATGATTTTTGATTTGATAATATGATGATGATGTGTTATGATGATATGAAAGCGTGAGTATAATAGGTGAAGCATGATGATATGTGGTATATAGATTGTATGATGACATTGTTCTAACTACTATATCTATTCCTTATATATTTTATAATGAATATGATTACTCACTCTTTCTGTTTGAATGTTGTCTCTAGGTGGTTAACACACATGTAATTAGGAGTAATTCGTATAAGCTTAGAGGATAGCTTTAGAGTGCATTGTTTATTTCTGTTGATTTATAAAGTCTTGCTCTGATATGTAACATCGGAGTTGAGAAAGTTTGAAGTAAAATTTTGTTTATTTGATTGAATGATTTATAAGTTGTTTATGTCGTTGAGATGTTTTAAAACCATAACTCATGAAAGATGAGACTTAATGATGTTTTGAAGGATATTATTTTATGAAGTTGTTTTTTACTAAGAATTTCGCTGTGTAATTAAATGAGTTATATGTTGATACTCCAAAATGAAATGTTTATAATCGTTGAGAGTCTGTGTTACGGAACAAGATATGTATGTATGATGTTTTTATGAAGCACGTAACACTCTTTTGGTGCATTACTCTAATTTATTAATTATAATATTCGTGAGATTTTAGAAGGGTGTTACAATGAATGCTCTCATCCTCCTTCATTCTTAAGTTCTCAAACTTGGTGGTAAGAAGTTAAAGTCTTGACATATCCACCTTAGAGGTTCCTTCATGCGAAGTCTTCAAAATCTCCCAAGCTTCTTTAGCAACAGTACAACTCCTTATCAGTCTGAAGATGTTATTTTCCTCTCCATTGAGCAGTGCATTCAATGCTTTGGAGTTTCCCTCAGCTAATTTATCATCTTCATCATCCTAGTTTTCCTCAGTCTTCAGTATATCAGTAATCTTATCATCCTTATCTCTAGCCATTGGTGGATCTCATCCCTTGACAATTGATTTCCAAACCTTGTTGTCCATGGATTTAATAAAATCCACCATACAAGCTTTCCAATGGTCATAATTGGTTCCATCAAGAATGAGTGGTCTGTTCACAAATCCTCCTTCCTTGTTCATTGTATCAGAAAGTATCTTTCATGAATCTCACTCAGATACAGAGCAGGATGCATGCTCTGATACCAATTGAAATTTTGGTATGCATATATCATATGTCCTAAGGACCTCGAGACACTGATATCTGATCAAAACACAATGACAATATAAAAACAGATAAGAGTACTGAAAGTAAAAAAGAACACGCGTAAAGTTGTTAACCCAATTCGGTGTACAACAACACCTACGCCTGGGGGCTACCAAGCCAGGGAGGAAGTGCACTAAATAATATCAGTTTGTAGATCTTCAGCAAACTATCACCATTTTACAATCTACCCACTTAATCATTACCCGTGCTTAACTTCTACCTAAGACTCACCTAGGTATGAGAGCCTTCTCAATTCTCTTTCAATCACAATATTGATAAAAAAAACTCTAATACTTAAAATAATTCAGAAGTCACACTTCAAAAATACACAATCACTTAATATTTAAAAAATTAAGAGTGATTAACAGAACTTACAACTCAATAGAGACAATCTTACTCTTATATCAAGATGATATTATAGAGGCTCACAATAAACAAGAACGCACAAACCCTAAGAGATCACAATTCAATAATACACATTCCACACTTGAATTAGGTTTGTGGTCTTCTTTTTAAAATCATTGCCTGGCCTGGATTTGGGCTTCAAAAGCGCAGTAGGGCGGCTACTAAAATTCTGCAGAAACTTCTGCATAATAATAGGTTTCAATCAAGTGTTTCCTAAAATGTATCAACATTTAGAAAAACAAAATAACCTTAAACTTAAACATAATATTTGATTCCTCAATCTTGGATGCCACATAGGATTACTTAATATTCTCAGAATATTCTATAATAATTAATTAAACCAATTAAACCCAAACTGCAAAACTGTAACTGGCAATATGTTGAGACTTCATGATAGGACATCTTGTTCAACATGTTGCTGCCAAGTTAGTTTTACCATAATTAATGCAAATCATAAAAATAGATAACTAACCGTTTGAATTGGGATTTTCAAAACAATTTCTTTTGTAAATTCTCCTCACAAACGAACAATGATAAATAAGTTAGAAAGGAAAGTGACACAATTAGTTTATACAAGTTCACCTGCCAAGGTGATTCGCCTTAGAAAAGGACTTAATCCAATAATCTAGAAAAATTACAACAACGTCTAAGTGTTTAGAAAAATACATTAGCCCTCTCAAGCAATTCTGACTACAACTTAGTCACTTGAAGAAATAAATCTAAAAAAATTTACAATCAAACAGTGTTTACAAGAGTGCTTCTAAAAAGAAGATTTAACACCACAATGAAGAACAATTGTTTACATACAAATATGAGCAACAACTCTTGTGTATACAACAATGATAAAATAATACAATGATGAGCAACAACTCTTGTGTTATAGAAAATGAATAGTCAACACAAACCAAACAACAACTCTTTGTGTTTTTTAATATCTCTTCAATATTTCCTCTCTTTGTTTTTTTTTTCCACACTAACTTCACTTTTGATACTTTAGTTGTTTTTCCGTGAATGATTTTTTGTTGAAACGTTTCACTGAATCGTTAGTTTCAAATAAAGTAGTTATCCCGTTATATAGACTGAGAAAAGAAGACCGTTGGAAAATGTCACTTTCACCAAACCGCCTACTACAACGATAGCGTATGATCGTAGGAGACAAAGAGTCCACCAAAACTTTATTTGTACATTGCGTTCTACACAAATAACAGAAAAGGTGTTGTACTTTTGTACTATATTCTTCTTGTGTAAGTTTCTGATCTTTTCTTCTGATGAGATACTTTTGATCTGAAGTAGTAAGAGAGCGTAAAAGAGATCACATCTTTTTTCTTTAATCTTCTGATGGAATATTTCTGATAAGAAGTGATGAGTATGCCAGAAGATGATTCATTGTGATGTTCTCAAATGTATCAGAGTCTTTCAGAATCAGAATCTAGTCTTCAGACATGTAAGAATAACTTATCTGACAAACAATTTCTTGATATCTGAACTGGAAGCAAAAACTTATCTAAGAAGCACTTTATCTTGATATTGGATCTTTGAAGCAAAAGTTTGATATCTGGCTGTTGAAGCAAAAGTTTGATATCTGATCTTCACACATGGAGATCCTTTATCTGGACACAATCATGACTTCTGAAAGCTTATCTTGACATCATGTTCTGGTGTTGGAAACATCAGTATGAATATGTTGTGTATCAGTGCCAAAATTTCACTATTTAAAACATGTTTTATTTGAACATATAACTAAACAATTCGATTAATGTTTACATAGAATAAAAAATTAAAAGATCAATGATATTAAAAGTTTGTTTGTATTGACTTATATGAGCTTATCTAGTAATATAAATTATGTTAGACTATTTGTTTTAGAAAACTTATAAAAATAATTTATAACATTATTCATAAGGTATTTTAACCATATTTTCACAAGTTCTTCGAGATAAGTAAGTTTTATTTTTATATTGTAATTCAAAATTCAATAATATTAATAATAAAAATAATAAATTTATTTATATTTATTTAAATAGATAAGTCTAATAGGTTTAAAAGACTTGTATAATCTGATACTTATCCTTTTTAACCAAATAGATTTATAAAAAAATTTAAATTCTTTCTATTCAAAGAGTCAAATCTGACATAAACCTATGTAGATTAGGTCATAGTCTCTCGTTAGTTGGTATGACATATTCTCACTCTTACTTGCATTTATTGGTATGACATATTCTCACTCTTACTTGCATCTATCGCCTATGACATCGTCTTCACATGATCCGGGGGAAGAGTTCTCTCTAGCCACATTCTTGATAGTGGAATGAAGGAAACAGGCACTAGTGAAGTCTATGGAGTCTATATAAATGCCTAAATCTTCAAGCTAAAAGAATAGACACGAACTCGAGGGATAAAACACTGTGTCTCATCATTCACGCTTGAGCAAATCCTTTTTCTCGATCATTGTACATTTTCCAAATACAACCACCTAATTTGAAACTCAGGATGTATGAATCTATTATATTTTTAATCTCTTTCTTTCACCTTCCTTTTACCAATGTCTATGTTGTTGCATAACCATTAAAATGAGTTAGTGAAAACATAAGATTAACCAAACAAAACAGTAGTGTAATGCAAGTTACATACGAACCAATACAGCTAGAAAGAACTAGCATTTCATTCCAGTTAGTTATATAACCTTTCATTAGCATTTGATTCTAGTTAGTTATAACATTATATCTTAAAAATGCTTACAAATTGTCTTAATAACACTAGATTTGGCAATGATAATCCTTCTCCCATAATAGTAAAACAAAACCGGGTCCCTCATTAACCTCATCTCTAATAGTAGCCACAAACAACCTTCAGTATCAGCTAGAAGATGTCAAGTAAGCTCTATCTCCTAATGCTACCGAAGTGATCGGCGATTATACAACGATGCATCGGCGCTTGAAGTCTGCAAAAAAAAAAAGATTTTACGATACTGAATGTCTTCTACTTCTAGACGGTGTTGACTTCGTCTCCTCAACGACTGTAGAAGCAGGGCTTTCGGACGTATCAGAGCTAGTAATCTCTCCGTTTTTTTCTTTGTTCGACCAAATCTTGGAGAATATTTTCTTTGACATGAGGAAGCCTTTCATTTTGTTAGCAGCGGCTTTGTCTGCGTTGTTGTTGCTGTTTCTGTCACTACTCTGGCTACTTCCACCTGATAATTTTAGTGCAGCAAGTTCGCCTTTCAGAACTTTTATGTCTTCTGCTGTTGCGACTGCGTCCCATTCCTCTTCTGTGTTGGTGGTAGTAGACCTTGAGCTACCGTGAGATCCGCCGGGATGCAACGCCCTGATAGAACCGGGAAGATCGGGAGTGTTTGTGCCTCCGGATGATGATGTTGTTGAAGCTCTCATTTGCTCAAAGAAGAGAACCTGCACGACAACACGTAGAGGAAGCCGCTCATTCTGCACCGCGTGCATGCAAGCTTCTGCCGACAGCTTCTTGCAGTCCATCAATCGACATATTCTTTTCCTCTCGCTTTTGCTGATTCCAGGATGTTCCTGCGTAACATATTAGTGTCAGTCTCAGAAATTCGGTTGAACTCAATGGAATCATTCATTTGATACACCTATATCGGTTAAACGCATGTCAGGTAGAACTGACTAACCTTTAAATACATGTCAATGGCACGATAAAGACCGTCATGAGACTGTCTAGGAAAGCTGGATACCAGATCAGCGATATTCACGAAATTCAAAAGAGGCAAATTAGGATCACGTGCGATCTCGGCAAGATAGCTATCAACCAGCTTTGCTACCTTTATCTTGCTAGAAGAATTTAGGACCATCTTAGGACTTTTGATCTCCTGCAACTCGTCTTCCATTAAAGATTGATGTTCATGTGCTACAAACATCTCAACTAGCTTCTGCACAGTTTCAATGTCGTAAGTTGTTTCCCCGGTTGATGAAGAAATCAAAAGATCGGCCAACGTAGCCTCCTCAAGCCGCTGACCTGTTCTCCTCTTCAGTTCGGATCTCACCGACACATCACATTCCAATTGAATAGCCAGTTTTAATAACTTCAGCAAGAAACTGCAAGAGCCACTTCCCATATCTTCCGGCAATAGACCGACAATAGTCTCCAACACTAATCTATTCTTTGTGATATCACCGTTCTGGATAACACCCTTGGTGAAGCCAGGCAACCTTCTAGAGGCAAAAGCACTTAGAGCTTCTCCTACAACTATGCCGGAAACATTTCCGTTAGTTGTTATTGTCGACATGACTCTGTTATAGAGATCAAGTTGAAGCTCACAAAGGTCTTCCACCCACCAATCCTTCGGAACCATTAGCTGTTTCCTCACACCATTCCAGTGTGAATCATTTCCATTTTCCGATGGAAGCTTTTTCCTGTTATATGTGTACGACCACTCCACCTTGGACGGATCCATCGAAGCCTTGGTAGCTATGGACTCCATACAATGGCTCACGATCTTAAGTTCTTCTGACCATGGAAGAAGAGATTTCGTTGTTTGTAGAACAATGATCGAGTCTTTCCAGCTCCTGAAAATGCTGGAATTGAGGAAGACTTCAATCTTGTAGATAAGATTTCCCTTTTCAACAGTTTCATACATCTCAAGATACTCCGCTGCACAACGAGCTGCAACCACGTTGTATGCGTTAAGAGTAACTACCATACCATAACAGAATTTTGTACATATTTCAAAAGCAATAGGTCCTCCAGGAATGTCATGGATGTGAACTTCGTCGTTCTCCTCGTCCGGGTTTGAAACTAACTTTTGTAACCGTAAACTTTTCGACAGAAGTGGAAACTGCAGAAGATGAATATGTAAAGATTTGATCAGCGGCCTAAAGGATAATCGAACCAAATAAACTTATGTAGCAAATGCGGATAATTGAACCAAACCACTTCTAAAAACCATTACAAAAAGAGTATTCTTGTAACAAAAGAGTTCTAGATAGAATGGAACTTTACCTTATGTAGATAAAATTTTACTTCTCCAACATTAACGACTATGTCCGATGCCAGCTCAGTTGCCACATACCTAGACAAATATATGCCACTTTACATTAATTTTGAATGAAACTTAACAAACAAATCAAAAGAGAAACTATATCAAACCTACTGCGCAGTATGACAAGCAATAGTACGTTTTTCGTATGCTTGACCGATAAAAATAATAGAACTTTGAGTGTAGTTATCCTCAAATTGAGGATCTGTTTGGATTTACTTTTCACATAAACACTTGTGAAACTGGTTGAAAAAGATTATTGAAACAACTTATCACATGTCCGTAAGCTCTCTAGAATCTCTTATGAAAACAACTTATAGCTTATATGAAAACCATTTGACTTCATTTCATTCTTTGTTGTAGAAATAACTTGTACATAAACACTTATATGATAAGTGTTCATACCATAAACACTTAATTAAGCTGCTTATCTAAACAAGAAGAAACCAACCGAATCATAAATAAGAACTCCACTCCAAACCAAATAACAAATGATTCAAATCAAGAGAAAACCAATCCGTATAAAGAGGAAACTAATTACATACCTGACATTATCTCCATCAGTCTGAAAAGAATCAGGCTTAGATCCAAGTTTCATAAACTTCATCTTGACCGAAAAGAAAAACCACCAAAAATCCCTCAAATCACCTACTCCACAAACTCTTAACCAAGTGTGGATACCAAACAATGAAATGCAAGAAACTTGCTAGTTAAGAGTAAAAACCAAGGTAGAAGAAAAAAAGGATCAAGTTTTTTCCTTGTATGACCGAATCTTCCCCTAAAACCAAGGCTAGTTAGATGAATTTTTAAACTATATCTAGATTATTATTATTATTCTTTCTGTGACTTGAATGAAAAGAGACTCAAAGAAAAAACATGTTGCTTACTAAATTGGTAACAAAAACCAAAGAAACCAGTTAATCTAAACCATGTTAGGAGACATTACCAACAAAACAAACTACCTCCAACACATTCATATATAATAATAATAATTTTCTCAAAGAAAGAGTAGCTTTGTTAAAGACACCCCCACTAGCTAAATCTGACACCACCGCCCCACAAAGTATTAAAATTATGTTTTGAATCTAGGTACTTGTTTCTTTTCTCTTATTTTTTTGTTATTGTTGTTTCCAACAATGGATTTAGACACAACACACTTTCTCTGAATCAAAATTTCACAAACCAATTTCCATAGTACTACTCAACAACAACATTCACACTCTACTACCACTAGCCATGTTTTAGCTATGCCCCTTGTTTGAATTCCTGTAAACACAAGAAAACAGCATATTTTGGTATTAGTTCAGAAAACCACCTAGTAAGTAAACAAAAACATAGTTATTTGTTGTTACAATAGATCATTGCACACATTAAAGTAAACATTTTCATCAAAATTTTAAATTCTGCATTGAAATTGAAGTTGAAATTAACCTAATTGGACATCAATAGTAAAAACATTCCAGAAACAATAAATCAACCAGAGACTTTCATGTTATTCTTGAAAAGTAAAATCCACAACTGAAACTATGATATGAATTGGTGAAAACATACATGCATACCAAGAGGTTGATATCAGAGGAAGGAAGAAGTGAAGGAATAGGGAAAGATGAGTGATGAGAAAGATGAGCTGTTCCTCATCTTTTGAAGACAGCCACCAGAGCTGCACAAACACAAAAAGCCAACCAATTTCAGAATGTTCCCACTCTCTCTCTCTCTCTCTTTCTTTCTCTCTCAACTCTCAAGAAATGGCTTTTGAATTAGTAGTAGCACTTTCTTGCCCCCACCATCCCCTAACTTTTCCTTTTCACTTTTCTATTCTCTCATGAACCTTTCTTTTCATCCTCTAATAAACAAAAGTCCTATATATTTAGGGTAATAAATTAAAATTATTAACATTTTTTCAACTTTTTTTTAATTTCATAATTATAAAATTAACTTTATCAAAACACTACAAATTTGAATTAATAATATATTTACTATAAGATATTGAAGGTTTGAAAAAAAAGCTAATGATATAGTAGTACATATGAGTATAGCACGCCAATCTGACAGGCGCCACTTTCTTTCTCCTTTTTGCTATAAACAAAACGATTCGTTTTGGTCAGTGAGAAAGAAATCAAATAAGCTAACTATCTTTCTCTCTTGAGCTCTGTTCCACTCTTCCACTCTCTGTTTATTCATCCTTTTTACATACAGTAACCATGCTATTTATTCCGGAATATTGAATAGTAAGAGAATACAAATCATCTCATTTTTTTAAGTTATGTATTTCGTCCAAAATTAAGAAAATAAACTAATATCACTTTACCTATTTTATTCCAATTTATTTAAAAAACAATTCAACTTTAATTCTCTCCTCCCATTTTTTTCTCTCCTTCCTCTCTATCTCCCTCTTATTATAACTTGGATTTTCTCAAACTATTTTTAATATCACTCTTTCTTTTTCTCTTCATTATAGAAAATGAGATTAAGAGGAATGAGAGAATCGGAGAGAAAAATCAGAAGAGAAGATTCAAAGTGGAAAATTTACACTATATAGAAAACTAATTGGTATTTAATAAATGAACCAATCAATTATATAATTAAGAAAATAAATTAGTATCATTGTACCTATTTTACTTTCATCTATTAAGAAAAATTTACATTGCATATAAAGGATTAATCGATATTTAATAAATAGACGAATTAATTTACGATCTAAATCTTTTCAGCAATGAGATATGACAATACATCACTTTATTTTCTCTTTTCCGTTCTCTCTTCTCCTCTTTCTTTTCTCAAATCTTTTTTCAAACATAATCATTTTATATAAATAGACACATCAACCAACTTCAATAATAAGGTGATTGTTTCATATAAATAGACACATCAGCCAACTTCAATAATAAGGTGATTGTTTCATATAAATAGACACATCGACCAACTTCAATAATAACGTGACTATTTCATATAATACACATCAATCAACTTTAGTAATAAAATTACCATTTCGTATAAATAGATATTGAATTGGTGCGCTCCATGAATCTCAATTGGGTGAAAGACAGTGACTCGTTTATAGAGAAAGTACACAATTTTTTGTTCAAATAATAAAATTCAACATTTTTAATTGTCAAAGTAGTCAACTTCAAGCAAATTCATCTCCACTATATAGTCACATAGTTCATAATTAGTCATATAGTCCATGGTTAGTCTTTTTTTTTTCTATATTAAAGGCACTAAATTCACTCCCAATATATACATATTTTCACTCTCTCTCAATTTTCTCATGTATTAACAAACTTGTGAAGTGTCTAATTAGTTTATCTTTTAACAACAAATGAAGAAAGCTAAGGTTGAGATTAGGAGTAATAGTGTTTGAACAGAAACATAATCTTTGATATTCTGTCATGGGTTCCGTCAATTTGAGTTGATCTAACTGATTAGACAAATGTACCAACCGATTAGAAAAGTCAAAATTTTGCTTATATCTATTTTGACTTCTCTCAATTCATCTGGGACAATTCGAAGATGTTTTTAAAGATATTTTCTTTTGGTAAAAACATTTTGAAAATATTTTAGTGTGTGCGCTTTAGCCATGCACTTTTATGATAAATCTCTTATGCTTTACAATTTGTTCACTCACTACTAAATTAGGGAATTCCATATTACTTCAAGACTTCCCAAATGCTTTCTCTTTTGATAACACTTGCTTGAGTAGCTTGAGATGAGGCTTTAGATTATATTCTAATTTGATTGCCATCATTGGATAGTCAAGTTCATCAAATCCTAAGGACTAGGCTTGCATCTTTCTTCGCTTAAATGTACATGCTTGAATTATAATAAGACATTAGTTATCCTCATCAAAAGTTAATGTCCTTGTTAAAAGCATATTGCATGCAAAACATGGTTCCGCATTCTACCTTTTTTGATGATGACAAAACATCTCTCAAAGGAGATGGTAAAAAGTAATACATAAATATTTAGAGTGACTAAATTCCCTCTGAGTTAAATAAAGAGTATACTCTGCTCCCCCTGAGAGTATACTTCTCCTCTTTATCGAAATCAAAAAGGCAGGTAAAGATGCATTTTAAAAAGTAAATATGCAAACAAGGGCAATTTAGTCATTTAGGGAAAACACCACACTCATAAGAAATTCAAATTACAAAGTAAATTTGCGAGAAAGAAGAAAACACAATTTGTCACATATGTGAGTTCATATATTGTCATAAGTATCATCATCCTCTTGATATCATTTTATTCATGTCTTTTACTTCTCTTGCTATGATTTGGCAAATTTTCTAAACTTGTTTTATGTTTATGTCTTTTGTTTCTTATGTTTCTTCTTCTTCTTTTTCTTCTTCTTCTTCTTCATTTTTAGAGTCGTCCCTTAGTTCTTCATATTTTATGTTGATCTTCATATTTCTGAGGTTAATATAATCGATTTTATTATTTGATGAGGTTATTTTTTCCTTTAGAGTATCAATTTTGAAAGCTCTTAGGATTTTTGTAATCATTGTCCCATATGGAAGATCTGATGAAGTTTTCCTCTTGAGTGGGACATGTGATGAGATATTCCATCTACCCAATTTGTTGGAATATTTTGTGTGAGGATCCAAAGAGGGACAATATCTTCTTTGATAATATAATTGATATTGACATTTCTTAGGAGTAATATTCTTGTCATAAGATAGTGAAGGATTCAAACTTTTGGTTTTAGGAGTGTTGTTCTAAAAGGAAGATTTATTTTCTCCATGGGATTATTTACAAGAGAGTTTAGGGTTATGTTTCGTTTGAAGTTTTTGAGTACTAAGGATTTCACATATTTGTAGGATGTTCTTAGAAAGGATATTTCAAACATTCTTCCAAAGCGTCCTATGTGGATCACTATCTTTACATTTACTGAATATGTCGCAGTTTTTCCAAGAATGTTTACGTTAGTGTAGAATTTGTATACTAGATCTGGAAAGATCTTATTGAGTGATTTTTTGAAGAATGCTCTTAGTGAGGTTTGGCAGATGTGAGAATAGGGTTTACATCCTCTCATGGAGGTTTCATCCATAAACCTTGGCTTCTATGACCTTTTTCTCTAAGATCATATTCTTATCTTCTTCTTGTTTATTCATCATTGCAACTATGATGTCATCTCTTTTTTGTGGTTGTATTTGGGTCTTTTACTAGAGGAGGTCATGGTGACAATTATGACAAGAGGAAGAGCTCAAAAAAGAAAAGATACAGGAAAGTGTGAGATGCAAGAGAAATTGAATAGATGTATACTTATTTATAGTATGCCATCTAAGGATTCAATGTAGATTGTGCTGATCGAAAATCAAATCAAAATATTTCCTTTTTAAGTTTCTTAACCATTTGGCTAAGGGATCTAATCAGTTAGATTTATGATTTTCTCAAGAATTTGCAAAATCTTCATTAATTTTGGGATTTTTATTTACTTGAGGCGCATGGTAAGCTTGGATTTGATATGAAAATCTTTGTGTCAAGTTTTTTCAATTGGTTTTCATTACATGTTAACCTATTGGGTTTACGTAATTAAGTCTCCTTGGTACATGTTGGGTATTATGTTTATTTTTCTCTTTTCAGCACTCCCAATTGTCATCATTTACACCTCTTTGCTAAAAAATACTCTAATATTCATCTTTTATGGGTTAGAAAATAATCCTTAAGACCTAGGGTACATTTTCTTAGTTTGGCATTCTCTCCCTCCAATTGATTGCTTAATCTAAAAATTAGAGCGTAAGATGGTTTGATACCTAGAATAGTATATTCCTTGTAGGGTGCCTTTAATTATATTTCATCTTGTTTGTTAGAATATTATTCTTTCATATTTCTCCCATGAGGTTGATGTTTTTCCTCCACTTCTTCCTTTAAGTATTGAAGTAAATTTTTCATCTTCTTTGTCATTCCTTGAACAAGAGGTATCTTCATTTGATGTTGAATCTTCCTAGGATCGTTCAACTATTGTGTATGTTATTTCAAAGAATTGCATATGAGTTGTATGATAGGATTAAGATGAAGATGGTGATTCTTCAAAATTTTACACTATATAAAGGACTAATTAATATTTAACAAATGGACCAATTAATTCACAATCTAAGCCTTTCCAACAATGACACGTGGAACCATATCACAACTTCCATTTTATCTCTTCTCTCTTTTCTCAAGCCTTTTCCCAAATGTGGCCATTTCATATAAATAAACACATCAATCAACTTCAATAATAACGTCATTATTTCATATAAATAGACACAGCAACCAACTTCAGTAATAAGGTGATCATCTCCTATATATAAACACATTAACCAGCTTCAATAATAAGGTGACCATTATATATAAATAAACATTAAAGTGGTGTATTTCAAGCATCTTAGTTGGATGAAAGAGTGTGGCTTGTTTATAGAGAAACTACATAATTTTTAGTCAAATAATAAGTGCAACATTTATAATTGTCAAAAATGTCAACTTCAAGCAAATTTAATCTCCACTATATATGCACATAGTTCATGGTTAGTCTTTTCCTCTTTTCTTCATTAAAGACACTTAATTCACACCCAATATATACATATTTTTACTTCTGTCTCGATTTCCCCTATATTAACAAAATTGTGAAATGTCTTAATAGTTTTTTGTGTCGCCAAATGAAGAAAGCTAAGGTAAAGATTAAGAGTAGAGAATGTTTGAACATAAACATAATCTTTGATATTCTATCATGGGTATCGACGAATCTCTTGCTTAGTATGAAGTGTATTTCCTTAAAAATGGAAGATAACTATTTCAAACCATTTATTCATCAAAGCTAAACTTCAAAACACATAGCCTGTTTTGATTGAAT